TGAATCTCGACAGAACCATATGACTTGTCTATCTTTGTGCCTCTAGTTGGATCATACCATTCACAATAAAACAAGACAACTTTATTTTCCGTGTCCAAGTAATTGTATACCAACTCGTAGATATGTTTAACAAATCCATAGAAGTCGTCTTCACCGCCATCTGTAACTCCTTTTACAAAAACACCACTATTTATGGTTTTTTTCCCTTCGGTCCATGCCTCAGTGTGAAATTTATATCCGTTCACGAAGTATGTGTGCCAATCATTTGCGCTTTGGATAGGGCCTTCTGCCAAGTTTCTCAAATGGAGTATTTCTGGAGTTAGTGCAGGAACGCTAGACAATGTTTGCTTGAACCATGAGGGAAATTGAGCATGAATGACACCTGATGTTGACTGTACCCCGGTACTATGAAAATAGGCATTGTTAAATTCCCTACAAAAAACACACAATAAGTTTAATAAGTTTGGTATACACACACCTTAAGTTTAAAAAGTTTTGGTAAACTCACTCAAGATATGGTTTAACTTCAACGCAGTTGATCAAGACATGGACATGTGCAGATTGCATTTCTTTTTGGGTCAACCAATGCACACCCTTCTTTCCAGAAGGTCAACCTGGTAGCGCAAAGACTGATAAGGTGAATTGACTCCTATGATTGACATTTACAGGATTCCGTATGATTCTAGGAGTTAACATCAAGTGATTGAAATAGTGACTGCAAAAATGTGATGTTTCCCGATGCAAGTAATGTGCACATATAGATCCTTCTACTCTAGCTTTATTTTTTACCGATCTCTTTGAATCATCCATGAACCTTTCAAACGGATACATCCACCTATATTGAACAGGTCCACCAAGATAAGCTTCATATGTAAGATGCACAGGTAAATGTTCCATGGAGTCAAAGAAACCAGGCGGAAATACTTGTTCCAACTTACAAAGAATGAGTGCAATGTTTTGGTCCAACTTAATGATGTCTTCCACTTTTAAAGCTGACGCACAAATATCTCTAAAAAATTGACTAATTTCAGTTAGTGGGTCAAGAACATGTTTGGGTAGCGATCCAAATGCAATTGGTAGCAACTGTTCCATAAAAATGTGACAATCATGACTTTTCATACCATGTAATTTTCCAGTGTTAGGGTCAGCACACCTTGCTAAATTTGATGAATACCCATCGGGCATTCTCAATTCTTTTAACCATCTACAAACCGCTTTAGCTTCTTGGGAAGTCAGACTGAAACAAGCCTTGGGTTTTAATAATTTTCCATTCGGTTGAGGCTTCAACTCCAACTCTCTTCGATTACACCAAATTCCCATGTCTTGTCTGGCCTTCTCATTATCTTTTGTTTTTCCTGTCACATCCATCACTGTGTTAAATACATTATCAAAAAAATTCTTCTCAATATGCATAACATCAAGATTATGGCGCAACAAATTATCTTTCCAATACGGAAGATCCCAAAATATACTTCTTTTTGTCCAATTGTGGGTGACCCCGTATCCTTCAATTCGGCATGCTTTCCCAGTATCTGTAAATTTTGGTAGTTCACATACTTGGTTCCATATAACCCCTGGTGGCAATCGAGGCGGAGGCAAATCTTTCTCTCGTACATCTTTTTTAAAATTTGTCTTGTTTCTTCTATACGGGTGATTTGCTGGTAGGAATCTGCGGTGACAGTCAAACCATGAGCTTTTCCCACCTTTATCCAACGTAAATGCTTTGGTGTATCCCATGCAATGCGGACAACCCATTTTTCCATGTGTACCCCAACCAGACAACATGCCATATGCTGGAAAGTCATTAGCGGTCCACATCAAGGCAGCTCGTAATGTGAAGTTCTGTTTACGGGATATATCATAAGTCCATTCTCCATTCCACATCTTCTTCAAATCATCAATTAAAAGTTGTAAGTACACATCAATTCCGACTTTTGGACTGTGCGGGCCTGGAATAACACACGTCAAAAACATGTATGGTTTTGTCATGCACATCTCAGGAGGGAGGTTGTAAGGTGTTACAATAACTGGCCAACAAGAGTACGCACTTCCTGACGCTTGCACGTATGGGGCAAATCCATCAGAGCATAATCCAAGCCTGACATTTCTAGGTTCTGCAGCAAAATCTGGATGTGTCCGATCAAAGTGCTTCCATGCCTCACCATCAGATGGATGTCGCATAGTGCCAGAACTTGTTTGGTTTGTATGATGCCATGTCATTTGACTTGCACTGTGCATTGAAGCAAACATTCTTTTTAACCTTGGTATTATAGGAAGATAAAACATGGATTTTACTGCTACACGCTTTTGCTTGCTGTTAACGGCTCTACTGCGAACTTGATATCTTGGACTATTACAAAACTTACACTCCTCTAACGATCCATCTTGAGTACCAAACTCATTGTCATAAAACAACATGCAACCGTTAATGCAACAGTCAATCTTTCTTACTTTTAAACCCAACTTCGACACCCACTTCTTTGCATCATAATAACTTGTAGGCAAATTGTCTTTCGTAGCGGTGGAGTCCAACATCATTTTTGCAAAATGTTCTAAACATTGATCAGAAACATTCCAATTTGACTTGGCAGCCAATAATCTCACACACATTGATAGCTTCGAGTCTGACGACCCCTCAAACAACGGCGTATTCATCTCGTTCAATAATTGATAAAATCTTTGCGCTTCCTCATTCGGCAACTCTTCCCCGTCAAAATCTTCAGGTTCATCATATGTCACGTTCACACCAAAAGCATCCTCAACCATGTCACCGATCAAATTAAAGTTCTCCTCATACTTCATAACCGGTCGACTACTTGAAGCATGCGTGTTGCTAGTCTCTGGTACATTAACCGGTAGTTCTTCACCATTATACGTCCAAACCCAATAATTTTCAATGAATCCCCTTCTATGCAGATGACGTGTTACTTCCTCTGGGTCACTAATTATTGGTCTACATTCACACTTAAGACAGGGACATCTAACCCCTCCTTCGCTTCGACAACAATCCTGAGCAAACGCCCACTTAATAAACCCATCAACTCCTACTATAAAATTGGGTTTAAGTCCACTTCTTCCTGGATATGTTCTATCTACATCCAACTGCGATAATACCGATAATATTCCATACTGCACATTTATACAATCATTGTCTTTTTCATTAGAAATATTCTTAAACTATTTAATACTATTCTTAGAAATATAAATTTTGCTTTTTTATATATATACTAACATATAAATAAATATTCAAATGTAAAATATATAATTTTTTATTACATAACAATAATATCAAAAAACAATAATATAACATATTTACTTTTTATTATATATACAACAATAATATTAGAAAACAAATAATGTAAGATACATACTATTTATTATTATATATATAACAATAATATTAAAATAATAATATAATATATATATTCTTTTTTTAATTATGTTTTTTATAAATTCTTATTCTAATATATAATTTTTTTTCCATATCTTTAACATATAAATAAAAAAATAAAACTATTATAATAAATATAATATACATCTATAAAAAACATGTTATTAAATATGTTATTAAATTTATGTTTTCTAAAATTTTTTAAAAAATATATTAAATATGTTATTAAAAAATATGCAAATTACATATACAAATATACTACTAAAAAATATATAAATCACATATGCAAAAAATATGCAAATTACATATACAAATTACATATGCAAAAAATATATTAAATATGTTATTAAATATGTTTTTAAAATTTTTTTTATTATCAGTACATTTATACTACTAACAGTATATACATATATACTTCCTAACCACAAAATACATATACAAATCTAATCTATATAATACATATAAAATCTAAAAAAAAATGCATAAATACCTCTATATAATTTCTTCAATAAATTTGCGTCTTCTTGGATAGTTCTTGGTGTTCTTCAAATTTCTCTACAAATAATAACGAACAACCGAACAAATACCATGTTAAATACTTCATTCCAGTATAAAAAAAAAAGAACAAACGAAATAAACATTTAACAACATATGAATACCTTAGATTTCTTCAACAAATTGGAATGGAAGAAAATTGATTCGCGAAATTGGGTTTGAGAGGAACAATTTTGAGTTTGTGAGAGTTGCTGTAATGTTTGAGAAGTAGCAAGGAAAGGAAGAAGAAGAAAGCACGCTACTGTAAATCAAAACGTTAACATATGTAACTTCTAGTAGCGACGTGACTGTCACGTCGCAACGTTGCCACGTGATAATCACGTCGCTACAAACTAATCATAAATACTATTCTCCCTCCAACACTGCTACTCTGCCATCAGCGAAATTATTTTTCCCCCCAAAAATTTAGCGACGTGGCTATCACGTCGCTACAAACTTTCAAACTTCCCTCTGAAAAACGTTCACCAATTTCCATTAAATGTCATTAAAATATATTAGTGACGTGGTTATCACGTCGCTACTACCCACGTGATAAGCACGTCGCTAATATATGTCGCTGGGGACATATATTTTTGTAGTGTACTTATGTAATGAGATCGATATATGACCACATGTTATCCTTCTTTCCCCGAGTAATTTCGTTGAGAGCAACTATTTAATTAAATAGATTTTTTTAAATTTTTTTTTTCTATTAAGGCATATACACTTGTAGGTATGCCTATCTTGTTCACTTCCCTAAGGAGAAGCAACATAAGAACCGGACATCAAAAGAAGAAGTCATGCTTCTGGCTATTTCATGCATTGGATATGCGGCTTATCTTCACATACTAGTATATTATTTACAACTACAACAATATTACGTTATTTTCTATCTAGTATATAAAATATTATTAATATTTAAAATCTGCCTAGCTAGCCGTCCTTAGCCGTTTGTTGGCAACCCCTTCACACTGGTGTTGCATGTGTGTGTATATATATTCGTATCCGATCATTATATTAAGAAACCAAATTAAACAAACAAAGAGCAATAACAGTACTTCATTGATCAAGCAATATGGCTCATTCATGTGCTCTATTCCTCTTTGCTCTCATTGCTACTATCTTCTCAACTATAGCCGTGGCAAAAGATTTTGTAGTTGGAGATGAAAATGGCTGGACACTTGGAGTTGATTATCAAGTTTGGGCTGCAAACAAGGTCTTTCATCTCGGAGACACACTCAGTAAGCTCATTCCATTTATGTTCTTTTCCTCTCTCTGACTCTGATGAATATAATGAATTAATTAGTGATAAAATGTTGAATTTAACTTGCATTGCAGCATTCAATTATGTTGCTGGTGAGGACAGTGTGGTGAGAGTAAATGGAAGTGATTTTCAGAGTTGCTCAGTTCCTTGGGCAGCACCAGTGTTGGGTAGTGGACACGATGAAGTTGTATTGACAACATATGGAAGAAGATGGTACATTTCAGGTTTTGCTAACCACTGCAAAAATGGACAGAAGCTTGTCATAACCGTCTTGCCATCACAACAATTACCTTGGTCTCCAGTACCTTCACCTTCACCTTCATCCTCACCCTCACCTGAGGATGCACCTTCATCCTCACCTGTGCCTGCCCCTGAAGCTGCACCGCCTTTGAATGCACCATCCGCCACTGTTCCTCGCAGATCCCTGCTGCCAAAGAAGCTATTCAAAATTATTCACAGAAATCTGATAGCTGTTTGAGTTTAGATGGTAATTGATCATGCATGTGTGATGTTTCAAAGAGGGGCTACTTTTTTTCCTTGTTACTAATAATTAACCCCTTTTATTATTATTTATTATTTATTTTGTTTGTGTTGGTGAATGTATTAACATAAATTTATTTACTTAAATAAAAAAAGTTACGTGTTTGCTAGTGATGATTCTAAATCTGATCACAAGATCATATTAAATTACTTGTTATTAAAGAAAACTGTGTACCTGTTACTTTATAAGAATAAAGGAGAGTCTTATTATTTATCATTGAATCATACGTTCGATTTATATGGGAGCCATAGTTCCTACCGTAGTATCGAGTTCTGAATTAACATAGTTACATAAAATTTCAAGAAATATATATCAAGAAAGTACTATATAATATCTAGTTTCCAAAAATTATCCAGGAGACAAGTGTTTCTAGCTAATTGTCCTGTATTAAACTTTCTTGCATTGTCCATTTAGCCTACAAGTGAACAAGACATGCAATTTCATGTGGAAATTAATAATAATTAATCATCATAACAAAAAATTATGCAAGCGAAATCTGTTTTTTGCATGCGTTTTTCATCTCACTAATTAGTTTAGAGTATTCTCTTTTACAAAATACAAAAATAAATTTAGAGATTCAGACACATAGAACTAGACATATAATATGTAAGGCACATATGTCAGAATAATAATTTTAGGGATAAATTCCTAATTAAATAACCTCCATTTTTATATTTGTGCGGGAATAATCCTCTCACAAATTTTCTAAAAGTTTAAAAAAAATAAATTAAATTATATATTATTATGTTTTGTATAAATAAATTTAAATAACATAAATTTATATAATTTTTTGACTGCTTAAAAAACTTAATATAGTTTTTATATAATTTTCTTAAACAAAATATTTAAACTGTTTTTAAACTATTATTTTTAAACTGTTTTTATAATACTATTTAAAAAAAAAGTATAATACTGTTTTTAAAAAAAAGTTTTTTTACACGTTAAATACTGTTTTTAAATAAATGTTTTTATAAAATAATACTTTTTTTATTTAATATTTTTAACTCTTTTTAAACAATATCTCAATATAAATTTTAAACAAAATATAAATATATATAAAACATATTTAATATTTATTAGCAATATATATATATATATATATATATATATATATATATATATATATATATATATATATATATATATATATATATATATATATATATATATATATATATATATATATATATATATATATATATATATATATATATATATATATATATATATATATATATATATATATATATATATATATATATATATATATATATATATATATATATATATATATATATAATTTAAATTAAAATATTTTTTTTTTTAAATGTATTTTGAGGATGAACACTTTTTGTTTAAATCCCTTAATTTTAGATGATAACAATGGAATTTAAAATTAAAAAACGAAAATTAAAATCTAAAATAAATATATTATATAAACTAAACAATATAAATTAGACATAAAAAAAATATACAATTAAAGATTGTTACCTTCAAAAGATGAAATTTTGTTGTAGAATTAGAAAGGATGGTTGAAAGATTTAGAGAAGAAGAGAAAAATGGGAAAGAGTGGTAGAGAAGAAGAGAAAAATGAAAGAAAGAGATTTTGTGAGAGAAAATCAAAAGCGGTTTGAGATATATATAGTTCAAATGGCGAGGAGCTTCCCACCTCACTAATTAGCCTGGAGCATTCCCCCTCGTAAAATGTAAACTTCCTTTCCCAAAGCCTGTACATGAAGCAGTTGAAGTGACAATACATCAGACATTTGCGAGGGGGTCCTCAACACTTATGCTACAAACACTTTTTGGTGACGTTACACCCTTGCAAAATGCGAAGCAGGGAATATTTTCGAAATTTGAAACTCCCTCCATTTATATTGCGAGGGGCTTCCCCATGCCATATGTTTTTTAAATTTTGACTTCTGATTTGGATTTAGCGAGGGGATAATCTCTAAGCAACCTCAGAATTAAGTGAGGGGTGAATCACCTCACAAAATCCCCTAGCTAAAAATATTATTTCTTGTAGTGTAGGTAACACTTGTGAAATGTTGTAGTAGACCGTTTATATTTTAAATTCGGAAATAAACAACACTTCTAAACTATTGTTATTGTTGTAAACGAAACAATACACCATTTGATAAAATATTGTTGTAGGAGAAACAATACAATATTTAATAAATATATTACTGAAAGTGAGTGTTTCATCAAGGATCGCAATCTTGTGAAACTACACCACTTTAACTTATAATTGAGCATTTCAGATTAAATAAAAACATTAGAAAGTATATTCTCTTAATTCAAAATTTTGAATTTCATTTTTCTTACATTCGAATTTTTATCGGTCTTATTTAAACTCAAGTATACGTTAAATTGTCTTGGATATCCGTACGTACAAATTCTAAGATGATTCAAAATTGCTTGAAATATTATAAAAAAAATAATTTGTTCACGATTTAAACCTCAATTCATTTAATTTGAATTAATTTTTCTAACACTTCCAATAATTTTTTTGAATATTTTCTACATTATGAAGTTGCTTAGGTAAGCAATATTGATATATATTGCACTTTTATCAAAAGAAATGGTTGTGCAAACCAAATAAACTGAATATGGTCCGATGGCACAAAGTCGGCGATGCTCTCTGTGCTTTTCAATGTTGTGATGAGTCAGAAATAAGTTAAATTATGTGCGTAAAAGTCCTCAATCATTAAACTTTGCATGACATCCTCAAGTCTACAAAATATAATTTTTTAGCCTCCTTAGTGTCAACTCTCAACTCATCAACCAAAGGATCTACCCAAAAAATTAGAGTATATGATCCAATAGTCGGTCATTGGTAGGCTTATGGAGTAGACATAACACGTCGGCCATGGTAGGGTTCTCTAACCAATAATTTGTTCACGATTTAAACCTCAATTCATTTAATTTGAATTAATTTTTCTAACACTTCCAATAATTTTTTTGAATATTTTCTACATTATGAAGTTGCTTAGGTAAGCAATATCACTACAACATTTGTTGTCTCTGGCAACACTTTTTTAGGTAACATGTAGAAATTGTTGCCTTAAATTCATGTAGGCAACGATTTACGAGTGTTGTCAAAAATATGTTTGCAACCCTTGATAATTGTTGCCTAAAATACTTTTGGGGACGTTTATGGAGCGATACTCTTTTATTTTTTTGCCAACGATTGTTAATTGTGCCCTTAACTGCTTTTGGGGACGATTTTAGAGTGTTAAAATATTATTTCTGTAGCAATGTTTGACAATTGTCCCCTAAAATATTTTTGGGGACATTTTTAGATTGTTACATTAGTTCTAATAAAATGCTACATTTCTGAAATGTTGTATTAATTTTTTTAGCATTATCAAATTTTTGGTGGCAATCTTCCCTCCAAAACTTATACACTAAAAAATAAATATTTTTCTCTAAATATTATTAATATATATATTAAAAAAATTTTAACACATAATTAGAAAATAATATTTAATTATAAACATGTATTTATCCACATGGACTTAATAAAAAACACAAAATTATAAAATCTTATTACATGCTGTATCCACACTTAACAAAAAAATTAAGTCAAACTATAATTTCCATTACTCCTCTTGCGATGTCTCTAATCTTAAATGCAAATATTACCGTTAAGATAATTGAGAATTTGAAGACAATTGAGTTTGAATAAGCCATGACTAGAAGCATAATATCTACAAGACGTATATCAACCTTTATTTATATAATACTAAATAGTTTAGGCACATTTCTTATTTTAAAAACTTAATAATTTTTTTGCAACTTCTTTAATAATAATTATAATTTAATATATGTTGGTTTCATATTAAGGGACACCATAAAGATATAATCGTTATAAAAATTTAATATTTCTTTAATATCAAGTAATGTTTTTTTAATAAAGAGTGAAACATTAATAACATTAATAAAGTTTTAATTTTAAAGGAGAAATTCAAATATTGTTATAATATATAATTATTATTAATAATGTGTTATGCATTTCATTTCATTGTTTCAAATTATAAAATATTTTAGATGTTTTATACAAATTATAAAATACTTCAGATATTTTATACAAATTAAAAAAATATAGTTAATTTATATGAGAAAAAGAAATTATATATGAATTTATAATATTGACCTTTATTTTACACAACAAATTAAATAATTAAAAAAAGAAATAAATGAAAAATGGTATATCATTAAAAGTATCACTAATGTTGCAAAATGAAAGATCGTAATAATTAAAATTGTAAAGTGATTTATAATTTAAGATAGTTTTATTTTGTAAAGTGATTTTTAATTTAGTACGGAGGAAATATATTATATTATCATGATATATCTATTATATATTTTTAAATTTATATTGTTAATTTAAAATTTTTCTGAATTTTTAAATTAAATATTACTTGTATTTTATAACTAACTAGGATAAAACACATAAGTAATATTTTTCTGTAAAAAAAAAAGGGAAATAGATATTAGTATTAATACTGATGGAATTGTCCACGTCTTATTAAAAAAAATAGAAAATAGAAATAAGAAAAACAACAGAAAAGGAAAACAAGAGGGTTCCATCTCCTTCTTCACACATTCCGCCGCCGAATACCGCTCTTAGACGCTCCAAGTCCAAGTCCTTCATCCGCTCCGACTCAAACCACTTTCGTCCACACCCTCCGCCGTGTTGTTCGTTACTCCGTCCAACTGCCTTCGTTCTTCGTCCGCTCGATTCCAAAAACCCCACCCTAGATGTACCGTACCACATCCCACCGCCGTAAGCTTATATACATCGTCATTTCTGATCCGCAACAACGCTCAACACCTTCAGCAGCAACATAACAACACGTCGTGCTCAAAATTGCATTATTGGTAACTTCTCTTCATTTTATTTCAATACAGTTTATAGTTGTTGGTTTATATTG